GATATCATCCACCTCAAAATCCCACTTCCCTTTAAACATGTTACCAGTTCCAAGTTTTTATCTTTCTGATACCATGTCCTAGTATCTCAGTTACACAAAGGAAAAAAAAAAAAAAAAGGATCCTTCTTACTTCATAATTCCACGGCTCTAACGGAACCAACTAGTACATTTGGAACCGTTCGAGATAAAACTTGTTCACTCGAACCCAATACCCATATAATCCTCCCCCACATTGTTTCCAACCACATCAACCTATGATCAAATCAAATTGAACCACCGCGAAGCAAACCGTCACTGGTTCAGAAGCTAAAACAACGAAATTTCTCATAAAAAACAAAAAGGAAAGAAGAGAGTCCTCAATAAAACAAAATTCGCACGTGATTAAGAACCCCACCAAACAATCTGCGTTAATAAGAACACAAGAGCAATCAGAACCGAATTAAATCAATGGTCACACTGAAATTAAATTGGAGGAACCAAAAACAGAAGCCCACCTCTATTTTCAAGAGCCATCATGATCTTCAATATAGTTGAGATCCACCAGCGGGTACATCAGATCCTCCTATGAAATTCCCACCTGCAAAGAAAACCAAACACAGTCGAAAATGAATTTCATAGTTCCACACACAAACACATTCACGTTACAAAATTAAAGAGAAAATATTGTGATAGAAGGAGGCAGAGATTACAAACCTGGTATGATTGGCGTAGAGAGAGGAGAAAAGAAGAGGGAGAAGAGGAAGTGTTGTTACCTATACGCACAAGGAAGAAAAGTTTGTCCAGTTGATTCACAGAAGCAAAGAATTCGAGAAAAGATATAAAAGGCCCCACGAGACAGTGAACAAACATCATAAAAAAAATAAAATAGTTTCATCATATAAATTTATTTTATAATTTATTGCTCTAATTAAATAATCCTCCGATCTTTAATATAGGATCTAATTATTGAGTTAGTTTTGATCCTAAATATAAAATCCATTTCTCATATTTATCAATTTTCTTTAAATTACCCCTATGGATATTCCGTCAACCATAATTAAGTAGTAGAGGAAGATGGAGTATCAAGAAAGATGATTATGATATTTTGAGAAAAACGTGTCACATTTTTTATAATTAACTAACTTACTTAACTTTCTTAATCTAATCAAATTATTTAAATGGGTCTTATATTAAGGATCGGATGAGTAATTAATTTATAAATATTAAAAAAATTAGTTAAGTTAGTTATTTAAAATAAATAAATAGTATCTTCTTGTAAAATACGAGTATCTTTTTTAATTATATGCATTGAAATTATGTATTTATGAAAATTTCTTAGCATGTGTAATCACCATAAAAATTATTATGAGGCAAAATAGACAAATGTTGAAAACAAAGTAAAATAAGATCTTATATTTAGAATTAAATTAAATTTTTAATTAGCTCTTATATTAAAAATCAGAGATAGTGGTTAAACATCCTTTTCCGAAAAAAGAAAAAAAAAACAAATCTAAACATATTTTCATATATTGCATAGAGTTTATATAATTCATGGCATGTAATAGCATAATCAAAATAGGAAAAATAACAAAAAAAACAGTTAGAAATTATTAAATGCTAAATAAGGAAGTTAACAAAAATTTGTTGTCATTTGAAAATTCAGTACCATCAATACCAAATAAAGTGTTGTTACTGAACCTGATTTGAAATTTAGTAATTTTTATTTTCTTTTTTTGACATTTCCTATCAAAATATTACTTTATGTTATTACTATAAGATTTAGTTGACTAATTTTGAAAAAATTTAAAAATTTAAAAAATTACTTAATTATAACATATGATCATATGTTACATGGTCTTTCTAAAATATTTACATATATCATTAGATTATATATTAGCTTATAAGCTGAGCAAATTAATTTGGAGAAAAATAATAAGTGTACTATTTTAAACTAAGTTATTTAACTTTATTAATCTCTTAAAATTAGTCAACTAGATTTTCTAATAAAAGATGGATTATTATTATTTTTTGTATTGCAAAATTACTTTTATAATTATTTTCCAATTTTGGGTGAGTAATAGCTTTAGATGATTTGAATCTTGGGAATTTATATCAACTTTTTCATTTAAAGAAAATGACTTTTTTTTTTGGCTGAACATTTAAAGAAAAAGACATTAGATTATATGAACCAAAAGATAGCGTCTGATTTTTTTTGAGTTGTAACTTGTAAATTAAGGATGAAGATGAATTCTAACCCACCTTTTACAAATTTGGCATGTTACTAAACTCAAATCATTCATTGCAGCTGCAAATAGGAATTTTCATGCCTCTCGCAAATTTAATAATAATAAAGTGTTAAAATAATTATAGTATTAAAATTCAATTTGAATCCTCTAGTTAGACCAACAAATTGATAAGCTAGTCCTGACCAATTTCAATTAGAAATTTTAGATGGAGTTATTTGGGTTGAATTTTATTTTATTTAACCGAGGCGGAAATGATGTCATTTTGAGTTAAAAAAATTTGCACCTTGATAATTCTATTTTATAAGATTATAAGTGATTTATACATGAATCTTTCATTTAATTATGGATTGATACCTTGTTTTATTTAGATATTACTTTTTTCAAGTTGTATATAAATATTTTTAAATATTTTACTTCAATCTTGTTTGAGCTAATCCTGATTTAACTACGGTGTAGCCACTCACCCTGAAATTACTGTTCCAACAATTTAATATCTGGTCTAATTTTTAACATCTTAAAACTAATCCAAATAATATTTACAGCTCCAAAAAAAAATCATAAAACAACCACATAAAACCTCTAAGAGGAGTTCAAATTCTGTGTGTCTTTAACAGACGTGATAATCAAAATCAAAATCAAAATCTGTAACAAGGGACATTGAAGAAATTAACAAATGTTGTTTGCTTTTTGGAAATTATTATAGAGATTGCAATAATTGATGTCATCAAGTTATGCTCAATGAATGCCACTTTTAGAAGTAAAGCATCCCTGAGCAATTACCACACAAATAATACAACCACAGTGGAAAATACAAAAGTCCAACCCCCCCCCCCCAAATAGAAGGAGGATTTTTAGAAAAAAGGCAAGGATGACTTATTGTACAAAAGTTAGTAAACTTGTGAAACAAAAGAAGTTTCAAGTTAAGAGCTTTTCCATTCAAGCTAGTATTGACCTCAACATATGAAGATGCCTTGCCAACAATGATTTGGGATATCATGGGAGGGTATTCCAAATAGCTGGATCATGTAAAATAAGCAAGGTACTAAAGGTCATACAAGTCATTCAACCAATCAAAATGATGACTTAATGATAAATAATTTGACTAAAATTAAAATATTCATATATATATATAATAATATTTAACTAGAAAGATATTTATCTACAAGCAAATGAAATATTCATGCCTAAATTAGGTATAATATAACAAAATGAAGTTACTAAAATACAAATTAAATGCACTTTTATTTTTTCCTTAACGTAAAACCAAGTCTTTTCAAGATTAGTAAAATGAGGGGGAAATGGTCAATATAATATTTATTCCCTTAAGTTTACATAAATTTAGTTTTAATCTATCCAGTTTCAAATTATAGGTTTTGTTCACTTAAACAATAAAATGATTCAGATTTTTATTAAATTATCAAAACCAATGTTTTAAATAAAAAGAAACTTAAGAGACCAAAACATATGATTTAAAACCTGAGGGACCAAATCCAAATTAAAACCAAATTCAAAGGATCAAAATTTATATTAACTCAAAAAAACATAAAGCCTAACCCGTTAGCACCATCTAAAACTCCTGACTAATATGGCCAAAGGCTGATTCAATAACATAATCGAGTGACATGGGTGGGATTTTAATATCGTAAAAATAAGAAGAAACACAGAAAAGGATCTGGAGAGAGGCCGTGCATCTTTTTGAAGCATTAGCATAATAAGAGATTATGCTAATAAAAATAAGAATATTGGACGTTATGACGGCGATGATCAAGTCCATAATCCATCCAGAGTCAAGCCATTCTCATGGAAGGTCCAAGAAATGTGGGCCTCAGTCCACTTGGTTTGAAGGCCTTATTAGGTCCACATTTTCCAAAATCAACAACAAGTGTTAAAAAAGGGACTTCACGTCTTTTGTTTGTTTTGGGCCGATTACGATTCATCATCATTATTCGGCTAATCATTAGAGTGTAACTAAATAATGCTACCAACAGAGTTGAGTTTAACAGAAAGAGTTAGTCTCTCATAAAATAACAAACCAAGATTTGAATTTTTACTGGGAGAGGTGCTCACATTTAGTGCCTGACAGTACCTTGAATAGGATTGCCTTCAATAGGAGGATACCTATACTTTAATTAAAAAAAAAAATAATGCTATTTATGTTCATAAAATTGTCTTAAAATATGTTAAAATATTATGCACATTAATAAGTATATATATTTCAAGGGAAATAAATTAAAGAATTAATATGAATCATTTTTTTCCCATATCCATCTGTTTATTCTCTCACTAATCCTACTATTAACATAAAAAAATTTGATCCATTTATAAAAAATATTTCAATAAATCAGAATTATTAATTTTCAATTTAAATAATTTAATTAGAAGAAAAATTAAGTAATTTGAGTTTTAAAATACAACCTATTTTGACCAAAAAATCTTAAACCTATTCTCCTCCAACAAATCATGGCATTTTCATATTATTTTTTGAAATTTAATTTGAATTGGGGAAATTACAAAAAAAAACCTTGGAATTTCAAAAACACAGATAAGGACTCTTGACAACTTCATTATAGCTTTTGACAATAATAATATGTCATGAAGTTCTCAAAATCCAAAGTGAAGTTGTCAAGGGTCTTTATCTGCGTTTTTGTAATTCTAATGTTTTTTTTTTTTTGCAATTTTCCCATTTGAAGTTTAGTTTTTGACTTTTTTCCCCGGGATTTGTCCAGGCCCATTGCCCCAGCAAGCCCACCAAAAAAAAAAAGAAAGGAAAGAAATTGTAACGGGCACTCACTAACTCACCGCGGAAACTCATCGGCGATGGCGGGAGAGGAAAGCTGCGTCAGTGCTGATGCTGACGCGGGCTTACGAAGCAGCTTCGTTGCGTTCAACGGGGAAGAGGGGATGGACGTTCAGGAAAAGCAAGAAGAAGAAGTAGAAGACGCGCCAGAGGAGGAGGATGGAGAAGATATGGATGCAGGTGAAGAAGAATACGTCGAAGATGATGGGGAGTATACTTTCAGGTTCGAAGATGGGATCAACCCTCTAGATTTTGTGGAGAATAATGATTCTGGGGTCCAGAGTTATCAGCAATTCGAGCGCCTTGAGAATGAAGCTCTTGCTGATAGAAAGCGAAAAGCAGCTGAAGACTTGCAACCGTAATTTCAACTTCTCATCATTCATCACTCTTTCTTTTTTGCCTGAGCAATTATCTTTTGCGAGAATGATTTATAGGAACCTAAACACTATAATACAATCCAATAATGCTGCATAATATCTGAAAAAATAAATTTTCTCAAGTCTGATCATGTTATAACAATATTTTATTACTTTAAGATCCTAAATGGTGGCTTTGATAAATGTCAGTGTTAACTTTAGAAAGCGAAGGTGATAACTGAAGCTTCTTCAAAGGAATTCTGATTTTAAAGGTTCTTTTCTAGTATCTTTAGACATTGAGATTTCTATCTCTCATTTTATCCTTTTGGGTTTGCAGCTTTCCCATTGATCTAGATTATAATATTCAATTGTAGTTTATGTGTTTGATACCATTGCCCGACTTGTTCAATCAACTGTCAATTTCATAGTTTTGAATCCAGCTTATTGTGTATTTTATTGTTGTTTTTCCTCATTGTGCTATTATTCTGTGCTTTATGCCTCAAGTAGATTTAATTTGACTATGTGCTATTCTGATAAGTTCAAGAATGAATAACGAATATAAGCAAGAAGGAAAAATTTGGATGTCCTTTTTTTTTTTTTTTTTTTTAAAATAGAAAAAGAAGAATTATTAATAAGTTAAAGAGTTGGGATGCAAATAGGTATTTTATTAAAAGTATGATGTGCATTCATTCAATGTCTCTAAAAGCAGTGATGGGCCTTCTTTCAAGAAGGTGAGGGAAGAGGACATGTCGGGGGCAAGTATGGAGGAGATAATGGAAGCACTGAATTTTGGCGTTCGTAGGAAGTCTAGAAAGGTACAATATACATGTGATCAGTCATACTTATGCAGCATAATCTGTGAACAATATATCTCTACATGATAATATGTTAGGGGAAAGGTTTAACTCTGAATAGAGAATGATCATAAATTCTTGAGACATTGTGCAGCCCAGATTGCTGAGTATAATTTGCTTACGTGAGCAAAGAGTATTAAAAAAAAAAAAAGGTTTTGGCATACTTAATTGACTTCTTTTAACTAAGGTGCGCTGCAAATTTTTGAACAATTTACAATGTGGTGGAAATTGAGGAGGGCATTTAGGTTGAATAACAAGGGGAATGATCGAGGCAAATGTTAAACTATTTATGAAGAACTAGTTGGTTAGTCTTTTCAAATGGTGTTTTTCTGGCAAATTTATTGTGTTCAGATATCAAAAACCTTTAGTTGTTCTGAGAATCATTTGAAAAGGACTACAAATATTTAATGCAATGCATCTCCTTCATTTTCCTGTCATTTGAAGAAAATGCTATAATTGGACATATCCTCTGCATCTTGGTGAAGAGTGCCTATGTGTGCTTTCTCAGCCTATGAACTTCAGTATTGTGCTTTCAGCATCTTGGTTTGAAGGTGAAACTAAGAGAATGTAAGTGTGTAAACGAGATTATTATAAAAAACGGCATAATATATCTTTTAATGCCCTAGAAAGGATGTTGATGACTGAGTCAAGGAGTTAGACTTTTCTGTTTTGCATATGCAACTAACTACTGATCCATACTATTATTTGTTTAACCAACTAACTAGTGATCCAACTAACTAGATTCTAGATTTTAAAAAAATAAAAATAAAAATTTGAACTTGCTGGTCAAAATAAGATGAAAAATTTTGAAATTGATATCTGAGCTTGCGACACCTTTTATTCCTCTATTTGTTTTCCTCATGCAGCCCAAGAAAAGAGGTAGACGAAAAGGATCAAAGAATAAACTCGATCCTCAGCTAACACGGATGCTTGGTGATGCCACAATTCATTATGCGCATGAACGTTATGAAGAGGTATTATATTCTTCCCACAATCATCTATGGCTAAACACATTTCCTTTTTCAAAGCAGCATGCTATTGCAGTTCTCTAGTATGATGGAGGAAGTTTTAGTGGCTACATAGTTTTATTACTAGCCCTATATATTACATGATTTTATTACTAGCCCTATATATTTTTTTTGTAGGTATGATCTCTTATTATAAGGATGCCATCATATTGTTTGTAATTCTATTTCCTTGTAGATTATATATTGATACTTTGTCAGCCTGGTCCTTGTACTTTATCCAAATTCTGTGTTGCATCAATACTTAAAAAAGACGTACCCATAGTAGATACACAATTGTACTTTGCAATACATATAATGTATTCTAACGTCTGTATTATAGTTCTTCTATGAATTGTTCTGAAATGACTTAAGAGCTTATAGAGAACTCTCTCTTTCTTTTGTTGCTTATTATGAATATCTTCACATTGCTTTTCAATACTCATTTAAAACTCAAAATCATTTCTCATGCGTTAACTTGTTGAATATATATAATATTTTATATGAATATTTCTCATACCTGTATGCTATAATTATAAAACTTGTCATATCCAACTTCTCATATTGTATTGTGTCTAATGCCTGTGCCCATATATGTGCATTTCACTTTTTCTTTTAACAAAACAGTAAAGGAAATGTATTAGAAGGTAGGTAGATTATAATACAATGAAGGAGGATAAGGTATTTGTTTGGAACTGACCAAAACCAAGAAAAAGTTTGAGAAAATATAAAATTGACCAAGTCCCCAGCTCTCCTAAAATTTGACAAGGACTCCTCTTTCTGGTATCCACGAATAAAGTAGCAAAAGGATATGATTGGCAATACCCTCTCTCATGCTAATTGCCAAAGGAAAAAAAAAAAAAAAAAGAAAGAAAAGAAAACGTCCTTAAAATTGTGAGCATTCCTGTCCAACTAAATATGTTATAACGTGATAAAGTCTAAACATCACTAAAAGACATTAATCTTATTCATGACAAAACCCCAATATCTTGTTTGGAGAAATTGCTGCAATGACAGAGGGACTCATTGATTGCCTAAGACTCCAGGACTATGAGGAAATTGATGTCTCACAGATCTAGCAGTAGGCTACACGCGACACAAACATGAGGGAAAGTTTTAATGTTAAGCCTGCAGCATGTTATTGCTGTCAATAATATTAAACATTACTCACCAGATAAATGACTTCATATTAGAAAGGGCTTTAACACCTCAAATATCAGGTTAGCCCTTATATTTTAAAATTTTGCAATCAGTTCATTATAATTCCAAATGTGGTAAGCGAGTTCTTGCTATGGCAGTCTAATAGAACAGCTCCAGTTCAGAAGCTAATATCCCTTAGAGGTTTTACTTAGATGTTGGAGCACTAATTTTCTAGTTAGTGACAGATTGTGTTAGATGTTTAGCATTGAATAATCAATTTGGTTAACAGCTACTGCCTGAGACTAAAGTAAACTAAATATGTTAATTGATATGCAACATATGGTTTTTTAACTCTTGAAATGCTTTATTGTATCCATTTAAAGTCGGCTCTTTAGATATCAGGAGTATTGTTAACGCAACATGGGATCAGACCTGGCATTTTAATTTGTCTGATTATTCACACTTTTCTTTCTTTGCCTGGTTGATACTTTGTCTGCTTAAGCTGTTTTGAGTTGCAGATTCTTTCTGCCAGAGAGCGATCCACACACACACACGCATACACACACATATATTCACTCTGCTGACTGTATGCAGGCTATTTCTATATTGCATGAAGTTATCAGGCTGGCACCAAATTTGCCCGATTCATATCACACACTTGGACTTGTCTATAGTTCACTTAAGGATGACAAGAAGGCTATGAATTTCTACATGATTGCGGCTCTTTTGACCCCCAAAGATTCATCTCTCTGGAAAATGCTTTTTACCTGGTCCATGTAAGAGAGTTCCACATTCTTTCCTCATCATTCTTTAGGCCTGTTTGTTTAAACTTGAGAATAAACGTGATTTTGATTAAGCTACATGAGGAATTTGTTAGCAGAATTTTCAGCTAAACATGAGGGATTGTTGGAAGAAAATTTGTTTTATGCTTATTTTGATAAGCTAATCAAATCACTTAGTAAAATATGTTGAAAATATATTTTTCTTTCCAACAACCCCTCATGTTTAACTGAAGATCCTCTCAAAAACTCCCTCATGTAGTGTAATCAAAATCTTTTTTTTTTTTTTGGGTTAATCTTAAACAAATGGGACCTTTGTGTACTGTGATCTTTCTTAACATAGTCAGCTCTATGTAATGACATTCCCACTGTAATTGTGAAGGAAAGATTAAATTACCTTAATCGATGTTTGCAATGAAATGAATATAGAATATGGTGCACAATTAAATTTTCTCATTTTTTCTATTTGCAAATGGTTCTTTGCAATGTTTTTGATACTGCGATTTGTTGCCATTTCTACTTTAAATTGAATTATACATGCATTCAAATATCTAATGGCTTTTAAATAGAAATAGTATTACTTGTTGAGATTGAGAACATTTCAATTGCAGAGAGCAAGGTGACGTTGGTCAGGCTGGCTATTGTCTTTCAAAAGCAATAACTGCTGATCCCAAGGACATTACTCTTAGAATTCATCGTGCATCTCTCTATGTTGAGCTCAAAGATTATCAAAGAGCAGCTGAGACATATCTACAAATTTATCAACTCTTTCCTGAGAAAGTTGGTGCACTAAAAAGTGCAGCTAAGGTATTCCTCTTTATCTGTTTTTAAGGATCCATGTTCTACATGACCATGCATGTCCTTTTCTGTAGATTTTGTGTTAAATAACATTTTTTTTTTCCTTTTTAACATTTTTGTACCAAAAATTTTACTTGTCTTTTTCTGATGCTGTGATTTATGTGTATGCTGGTGGGTCTCGTGGCCTCTATGTACCCTTCTGTAAGGGTTGGGTATTCAAAGAGCTTTTCGGGATAATTATGACAGTGCTTCAAAGTAGGCTTCTGGAAGATTCCTGTTGGAATATGATCTGAAAGCCTGATAATGAAGCATGTGCTTGATGATGATAAACAACAAGTTTGAATGTGAACCTGAACATGATTAGTGTTATTGGAGTCTGGAACAGTGGAACGAGAGAGGAATCCTGTTGTGCCTCATGGTCCTGGTTTGAATAGAATGGTCTTATAGGATGCTTCTTTAGAGTATTATGGCCCTTGGTTTGAAGATTATGGACCTTGTTATTCTTCAATGTTAAAGAACCTTTTGAATCACAATGCCCAAAAAAAGGTATAGCTTTAGGGTTACTGAACAAGATAACACCCAACCGGAGTTGATGAAAGGAAAAAGAAGAGAAAGGTGTAGCATTGAAGTTATCCTAGTCAAACTACCCTTTGCTCAATTAATCTTCAATCCTGACATAATTTCGAAAATGCAAAGGACAAATAGAACACCAGCAATACTGTCTCTGCTGTCGTTGGCCGACAAAAAAAAAAAAAAGAAAAGAAAAAAACTGTCTTTACTGTCCTCCGGGAAAGGAAATGTGTTGTTTGTAGAGTGGAGGTGAGAAAATTAAAACTTTTGCCTAGCATATGTGGGTAATCTTAATGCCATTGATACCCCCATCAACAACCCTATTAATCAATGTGCGAAGCTTGTTTACCACTAGGGTATTAAAGAGTGGAGAAATAGAAGATCCGGTTACTTTATCTCTCTCTAACCTTGAAACTAAGATTTAGCATCGCCATTCACAATCACATAAAAATGTGGCAGCAGACAAGCATCAAATAATTGGAGTTCTCAAATTATTTTATCATCTGTCGTATGCTGCTTTCTGTTTCAGCTCTACCAAAAATGCGGTCAAGTAGAATGTTCAATCCACATTCTTGAAGACTATCTTAAGGGTCAACAGGCTGAAGCCAGTGAAAGTATTGTTGATCTGCTAGCTTCCATATACATGGAGACTAAGGCATATGACAGAGCTCTTCAGCATATTGAGCATGCACAAGCTGTACATTATGCAGGGAAGGAGTTGCCATTGAATCTGAAAATTAAAGCAGGAATCTGTCATATTCATCTTGGAAATATGCAGATGGCTCAGGTCTGTCACCTGCTCATTAGATGATACATAATTCAGTTGACTTTGTATGTTCTGAAGTATTACTCATTTTAACCGTACATGCTTGTTGAATCTGAGGTTGTCTACAATTTACTAATATTCAAACGATGTTGAGCATCCGGCTTGAACAAATCCACCTGCTCTATTTTTGTGCATTCCCCTTGTAGTATATTGCTATGTTTTCAACCTGATACCACCATGAGAATGCTGCGCACCCATCCTGTGCCTTTATATAATTTTTTTTCACGTTTAGTGTAGATATGATATGTGTTTAATTATTAGGCCCAGCCCAGTAGTTTTCACTCTCTAGCCTAGGCATAACGCGTGTATCTCTGTAGTAAGACTGTATGGTTGGATTAACTATTGAATTCTCTATAATCTCTGGTTACTAGCATAAATTATTGTGATCCTGTCAAGCGAGAAACTTCGAGAGTCAGAGTTAGCACCAACATGACTAGTGGGAGAAGTTTGTTAATTTGACCTCCTGTGGTGCTTAGCACATCACTTCAAAGGAAGCCTGCCTGTTCAACTTTCAAATAGGTTGTATTGTCAAGTACTGTTGTGCTGATTTGCCTTTGTCATGGAGACATTCCCTTTTTGGCTTTTTTCATAGTAACATTAAGTGGGCTTCGCTCAGGTTAAGTTGCTTCATTAGGCAATCTTTAGAGCATATTCTTTCACATAGGCTTGGTGTGTATAGTGTTTTCTTCCTAGAGTGCTGTACAAAATCATTGAATGCAAGTTGATATGGATGGATAATGTCACGGAGGGATTTCTGTAATTGCCTTGTTTCACTATTTTTTTAACTTTCTATACAAGACTTCTTGCATTTTGGGTTTCTCATTCTCTTAGCAAAACAAAGAACGTCCTATTAGACTATGCACTCTTGCGTGCATAACTTTCTGTGCTTTGCTTTCATGCTAGTGTCTTCTTTCACAGCCTTTATTATTATTATTTTTTTAAAAAGAGTTTTATGTGTTTTTTTTCCTTGTAAAATTTTTATCTGTCATTAATTTCGATTTATATGTAATGAAAGTATATAAAATTATGTTAATTTTTTGTCATTTGTATCATATTGAAAGTTCTCACTTGGGCTTACAGGTTCTTTTCAATGATTTGAAACCAGAGAATGCCACCGAGCATTATGACTTGGTTATTGATATTGCAGACTCATTGGTGGCTCTTGGCCATTACAACTATGCATTGAGTTATTATCTGATGTTGGAAGCAAAAAGTGGAAGTGAAAATGTGTGGTAACTTATTCCAATTTATTGCATTTCTCTTGCATTTTCTGTTTGGAAATTTGGATACCGGTAGTTTGTATGAGCATTTTATTGAATCATTGCCAATCATTCTGACAGTTAGAAAAATATTGAATTATTCATAAGAGCTTTCCACGACTCTTGTTATTCTTAAATATCTGTTTTTACAAATTAATTTTGGACTGCCCTGGCTGTTTATCATCTCACTCAGAATTTTTTTTTTCCCCCTGATAACACCACTCAGAATTAATTTTTGATGTAGAAACTAAAAAAACATGCTACAACTTGTTACTTTTAGAGTACTGATGTTCGCACTATTTTAGCTAGAGATTAGTTTTTGGCTAATGCTTTCTCTACCTTCTTAGTTACTTTGCTCATTGCGTCCTTGCCTTGGCTACCTGGGGCCATAGGGACTTTTTCCTTTCCTTTTCTTTTTTTCCCCCTTCTTTTTTTTTTTTTGGGGGAGGGGGAGGGAACTAAAGAAATGAGTGGGGTGCTGTAATAATAATAATTAATGATGGCACAGTGCTGTATCTTTGGATAATTATTATTTCAAATTAATGAAATGGTCTCAGTTGTTTTTTTTGCCTCATTTTGGTGGTCATAAATCTTGATGCTTCTTTTTTATCCAGTTTAATGGCATGCTTTCTTGGTACATCATCATTGCATAAAAGGTTTGTCGAATCTGATTCCTATGGCAAACTTTTTCTGCAGGGTCTTCTGCATCTGAAAATTGCGAGATGTTTTCTGTCCCTCAAAGAAAGATTACGAGCAATTGAATTTTTCTACAAAGGCAGGTTCAATTTTTAATTAGTTTTGTTTTTATGCAAAGAATGATAGATGAGCTAGATGTTCTTGATCTTCTTTACTTTTACTAGATAAAGTGAAGTATTTTATCTATTTAATTTTTCTAATATTAAGTGAAGTATTAATCGTCTTTCAGTGAAAGAGCGAAGGTTAAGTTGGATCAACCTCCACATAACTGATGTGGAGGTTAGTATTCCCCACATATTCGTGTGTGTGTGTGTTCTCTTTATCGTGGCTTCCCAAAGTATTTTCTCCTTTATTCTTTGCGTTTTGAAGTTTTAAAACTTTTTCCTCTTAATGTTGGTATTCTATCTGAATAAGTTGAAGTTTTAAAACTTTTTTCTCTTAGGATTTGTATTTTTTTAGTCTAATGTGTTTATTTTTTTCTTTATATTTGTGTGGGCTGGGTACAAACTAAGCTTAAGATGCAGACTACAATGCTATATGATGATTGCGTCCCTTTAACACTTGCTACCTGAATATATTAACCGAGTTATTTGCTTCTTGGACAGCCCTTTTCTACCAGCTACTTTCACTTAGAATAGTCTTATTCACTTGCCATACAAATGTTTGTTTCAGCCTTGGAAACACTAGAAGATGATATTGATGCACGAATAACTTTGACTTCTCTCCTCCTTGAGGAAGGAAAAGTAGATGAAGCCATTTTGTTGCTGGTCCCTCCAAAGGACTCTGGTACACCCCAGAATTCTTCTTCATGGTCTAAGTTTATCCAGATTATTCACCAAAAGAGCAAAAAGCTTATCCCGCAGATTTTGATGTGAAATGTACTTGCAGACTCGGGCGAAGAACATTCTGATCAATCAAATAGATGGTGGGTCAATGAAAAAGTAAAATTGAAGCTCTCCAAAATATATTGGGACAAAGGGATGCTTGAAAATTTTGTGGATACAATGTTCCCTCTGATACGTAAATCATTATATGTTGGGAACCTCCAACACACGGTAAGATTTTGAAAAGTAAATTTTGAGAATCTTTTTCCCTCCTCCCATCATAGGCGGAAACACATGCATGCATTAGCACCGTTGCATGCATATATGTTGAGTTAACAACTTGAGCTCGCTTTTAAATTGAAGTATTGACAGACTAACTGAAATGGAAGACGTCACAACTGAGTTGTAAATCCATAAGGTTCAGTGGGTGTTAGTCACTCTGTAGCATAACTTGTATTTTTTTTTCCTTTGACTTTGCTAGTTATTGAAAAGTCGAAACCTGTGTGTGGATAATCCCACTAAAAAAGATACAAGTCTGTTAATAGAGTAATCTTAAACTAGTATTGTGATTTCAGCACAAAAAAAGAAGCTAATATTGTGATTAATGATGCTATAAGGAGAGAAACGTTGACATTTGTTTTATAAACTTTTATTTTGTAGAAGTACTACCCATGATAACAATTGAGGTACAAGCATGCGTTTTGGTTGAAAAAATGTATTGGAGCTTTATCGTCCATTTGCCTGTGCTTTTCTGGTCAGACATGTCAGGGATATGTTTATGCAATATATGCTTAGGGGTTCTCTCAATTATATCACTACTTACATCATAGGCTTTGATCAGTTGTCAAATTTATACATGCCATTGTCGGTTTTTGTAGGGAAAGACAAAAAAGCGGCTCTCCAAGAAAGATCTGGTTGAAAGGGTTAAAGTATTGGATGATCAGGATACAGACAATGTATTTCGAGGATTCAGGCCAATAGCTCTTCCATCTGATCTGTGAGTATTGGATTTAAATACTGAAATTTTGTGGGAATCTTGTGATGATGGGCTCATTCTTTTTTTTCTTTTTAATTATGCCTTGTTTATCACGAGGTAATTTAACATCCTTGTCAACTTATTTATTTACCTTTTTTTTTTTTTTTTAAATTTTCATGTACTATGCTGTCTTTATCATGTATTTATTTCCTTCTTTTCCTCCCTGATTTACGGAATTGATTGGATAATTCCTTAAGTTAACACAATTCCTATTTTTTTTCTCCCTTCTTTCTTTTCTTTTGTTTTTCATTTTTTTCGAAAACAAGTTGAACCAGAAAAGACCTCTGAACATCAAAATTCTGCATGATGCATGAGCCCATGGCCAAAATATGACCATCAATATGATGGGCAGAAGCCTCTCATGAGGATGCTGCTCAGAACAGCTTCCAGCCTTTAAGCATAAAGTATATCCATGCACTCCTTTTATTTAGTGTACCAATATTTGGCCAAATCCATATTAAACTGAAGTTGTGCACAAGAAGCCATTTACGAATGGCTTCATTTGGTTTGTGCATTATGCACTGCTCTCCTCTGCTGCTGCCCAAAACATGTGGACTTAATCCCCCCTAATGAGATTCAGTGTTCGCTAGATGATCATAACGCCATGTATGATACTTGAAAAATAACAAAGAGTACTTTCGGTGGTTCAATGACAAAAAGATAAAGACAGGGAAAAAGAAACTTTTGTTGGTGGAAACTATCTGTTAGTGCTTAATGAAAACCATCCATTTGTGGTTAACCCACCAATAATTAAATTGGGGGCTGAAAATTATTTGCTATTGGTTAGGAAGGAATTGAAGGAGAGTTATTGGAGAAGCACTACCTGGGTTCAATGATATAGGCTGGGTAGCAAAGGAAGAAAGCGAGAAATGAGTACTACAATAAGGAGAGACTAGCCTCTTGAATGCTAGACCTTTTTTTAGGTTCTTCCCTTTTTCCTTTAATCCTGCTACTTAACATCCTTCTACTTCTCCATATCCTAGCGGGAGTATTACATTGGTGTCCACCAATTTTGGTGTTGGCATGTTCTTTCATAGGGAATGGCCATGTTCAAAAGGGAAGAAAAGACAGAAAACAGGTCTAGCATTTGAGAGGTTAGTCTCTCCTTGTAGTGGCCATTTCTTGCCTTCTTCCTTCACTACCCAGCCTATATGGTTGAACCCAAGTAGTGCTTCTTCCTTAAATAGGGACGGTTGCCCCACCTCAATAAATAACTTTTGGGCAGGAAAGTAGAATGCAAGTGTCACGAGTAAATTGTTGTAGAGTATAACTTCCAAGACATTGGCTCTTCAAGGGGGCCAATTGATGGAGACTTAGGTAGTGTGGGATATCTAAACCCCACATTGAGTAGTATGGGATGATTTATGAGGTATTTAAATAGATTGGTTCTTCCACCTCAATGGCTAGCTTTGAGGAGAGGATTCCCGTCTCATCTGTGTATCCTTCATTGGTACTTCTATAGGATTGCAGCCCATTTACCTTAGTTTCCTTATTACTCCATATTATGTGAATTATCTACGAATAAGGGCTTCCCAGTGGCCTGTTAAATGGTACCACTTTTGATTGATATGTTCGTTATTTCCCTTCATGAGTCAATTATGAATTACACAGCAAAATTGTCCACATTACCCTCAAGAAAGGAAAGGAAAGGAAAGAAAAGAAAAGAAAAAGAGACAATATCAGCAAAAAATTGGTATTTGGTGCTAATATTTTTCTCAATAGATTTTCTTGCTTGATTTTGCTCTTGCTACATTGTCACAAGCTTAAAATGAATGTCTCTCGTTATATTAAATTAGGGTGAAGGCTTCCAGGGCCAAAAAGAAGCTCCAGGAAAAGGCAATTCTGAAGGAGAAAAGGAAAGCTGAGGCATTGGCTGCTGGAATGGACTGGATAAGTGATGAGTCAGATGATGAGCCTGGGGTAATGTGTTATCTTTAGGAGAGAAAATGTTTAAGTGATGACATCACTGAATATTGCTCCGTGCTGACTTTCTTTTCTGTATATTGCTCAGTATGTCTCCCTGAAAGGTAGAAAACGTCCTTTGTGCAATTTTCTCAAAGACGAAGAACATCATCAGCTAATTATTGATGTCAGTACTTCTATCTCTAATATTAGGCCCCACTACTCCCATTTCCTCTGTTTTATCTGATCCATCAATATTGTTTACAGTTATGTAAGGCATTGGCGACCTTGCAAAGGTATTGGGAAGCACTGGAGATTATTAATCTCACTCTAAGATTGGCCCACAATGTGCTGTCTGCTGAGAAGAAAGAGGAACTTCGATCTCTTGGAGCTCGTTAGTCCTGAAACCTGATAGACTTTTATTCTTCTGGATTATAAATCTTTTGAATTCAAAGTTTTCTCTCCTGCCCAGAAAATACGGGGGGAATAGTTTTTCTCTTTTTCCTGCTCGTTTGTCTCCCCATCTTGAGGTTTAGATGTTTCTGTTGTTATTCTGAAGAACAAATGTGTAACTTGCTAATAAAACAAACAAACCTTTTGATCAGAAATGGCATACAACACCACAGATCCTAAGCACGGGTTTGACTGTGTTAAAAATATTGTTCAGCAACATCCTTACAGCTATGCTGCCTGGAATTGCTACTACAAGGTTACCTCAAGGTAATAATCTGACTTCGTTGTATGCATGTCAGTTAGTTAATATTGGTTTGTTTTAGTAGATTTCATTTCTTTACGTCTCTGCCTTTCTTCTCTAGTTAAGTATTAGGTGGATCAAAGGGCACCATAGGAGTGGAAGTTTCTGTAGAATTGAAGGATTGAAGACAAAGGGAAAAACCGGGCCTCTGATTTATTATTAATCCTTAAATCAATAAGAGTACAAATAACCCGATTTATTCTTCTAAAATGGATAAAATATGATATGATATTGATATATCTAGTCCTAGGATATGATAAAGGGTAAATATCAAAACCTAATAATAATTAGTTAACCCTAACCTAGCGCATCTCAGCACACCCCCTTAAGCTGGATCGTCAGCTTGCATACTTGTGCTTTTCAACAGTTTCCTTTTGCAGATATAATAAATTGATTACAGTTCTTAGGATAATAATAACTTTATGATGTTACTAATTCCTGTGGGAGGCAATTCTAATAACCACTTACTTTTGAGACTTCCATATTCAAAAGATGGCATAACCACTTGCTTTTGAGACTTCAATATTCAAAAGATGCCAATAGATCTGGAAGTTTCCTTTACTTTTGGAGGCTGAGATACTCAAATTGGCTTCCTTTCTTTACTTGAAACCTCACCGGCTTGCATAAATACAAGTGCTTGAAATGGGTGATTATATAGAATATGTCTATTCCTAGTGATACTGTACTCAGTAAAGCGAAGATACAAGCAGGGCAGGCTGCACTTCCCTATACTTCGTAACCTAGTCCTTCAACTCCTATGCTTTATGGAATATAGATTGTTTTGGAATGAATTGACTTCTTTTACCGGGAAAAATTTCCCTCCTTTTCTCAAATTGGTTTGCAATTCTAAAAGAATAAATGTAGATCCAAAATAAAATGAGCGAGAACTCAGCGAAATCCTGATGTGGTGAAAAAACTGTTTCCTAGTGAACCCCGGAGCATTCTTGGAAAAATATTAGTTAGGCTTCCTAATCTTTTTATTATTCTTTGGTACAGAAGTGTGACTTGTAATTATGTCCTGAAGAAAAATTAAGGCCTAAATCTATCTCTATATATAATAAGTGTAGGAAGCTGTTATTGCTTATGTTGGGGATGATCTGGGAAGTCTTGAGAGGCGTCTATTTAGTGGGTTTAGTATTTAATATATTTATGTTCTTTTTCTTTTTTCATCAATAATTTATATCCTAGGTCAGTTTTAGATATTATATCTTCTGTTAATATTTTATATACCTTAGAAGATAAGTCTAAGATATTCGGAATTAATGAAAGATATGATATCTTGGATCCCAGGATTAGGGTTCTCGCTGCTGCTTAGATGAAGACCCAATGTACAAGTTATTTTGCATCTTAATAAAGTAAACAGAGGCGCACTTCACCTCTGGATTCTATAGATTTCAATACTTTTTTTTATAAGTATTGATTGGTTGCAATAGAGACATAAAGTGATTGTTTGATTAGTATTTTTTCCTCCACAATGCACAAGAAAAACTTCTAGTATCTATTTAATTTATTGGATTATCTCATGTCTGATGTGTAATAGATTGGAGAATCGAGATTCAAGGCATTCCAAATTTTTACGCTATATGCAAGGAAAATTTGTGGATTGTGTGCCTCCTATTCTCATTTCTGGGCATCAATTTACCATTTTTAGCCACCATCAAGATGCTGCAAGGAAATACCTTGAAGCTTATAAGCTTTTGCCGGAGAATCCCTTGATTAATCTTTGTGTTGGTATGTTCTTTCATGCCGTGCTGTATTTATGTAATGCTTACTGAAGCTTGTGTTGTAATTGACTGTTACTTATTCTTTCCTTTTCTTTTTTTTTATTTTTTATTTTTTTATAAGGAACTGCATTGATCAACCTAGCGTTGGGTTTTAGGCTTCAAAACAAACATCAGTGTATTCTACAGGGTTTAGCATTTCTCTACAACAATTTGAGGATCTCTGAGAATAGCCAGGTTTGTTTTAGTCAATATTTCTCCAATCCCATCGAAGATGAAAATAATATCAATTCGAATTATTGGGGGAAGAAAAAACTACATTATTTACAAAGCCAACACTATGGTTCCGACTGTTAAAAGATTGCTACCCCCAACCTCAGCCTCGATGCCAACCAGCTTAAGTCTTCGCCTTGCTAATGGATATTGACCTATTATTATTGTCTCAACTGTTTTTGATTTATTTCTCTGTGAAGAATATTAAAAAAAAAACTTAAAATGTCTAGTATTGGGTTCAGGGCCTTCAGGCCAGAACATAACCTTGGTATATAGTCTGAGTATTGAGCTAGCTGAGTTCAGTAAAATGTCAGCCCGGCATCTGGCAATGCTGGACCATTCTCTCTGATAATTTTTCTCAAAAACGTTGTAAGATACTACTTCCGGTCCTTAATATAAGAGCTAGTTTGACGTTCAATTTGATTTTAAATATAAGATCCCAATCTACTTTGTCTCTCATATTTATCCATTTTTTCTCAAGGTAATCCTTGTATTGGTTGTACATATTAAAAGTTCCATCAAATAGTAGTTCTAGCTAATATACATGATTAGCAGGAGTATTTTAGGAAAAACAATATCTATTTATTACAAATAAGTAACTTAACTAATTTTTTTTAATCTACTTAAATTAGTTAACCAGTTCTTCTATTAAGGACTGGAGGTAGTACTTACTGAAATCATTGGGGACAAAATGCATGTCAAAATACTTCCTCTCTTATGCTTATTATATGCCGTTGCTAACAGATGGTTTATAAAAATCCCACGCCTGACAATAGCATCACTGCCTTTTGTCCTCCTACACCGAATTTTAGTGCCATAAGAATGCTTGTTAACTTGTGATCACATCTTTGATAACTTGCATTTCCTCAGAGAAAAATTAGGGGTATGATTAAAATTCTTTTAGTAGGTTTCTACTTAGTCGGAAGAGACACCTATCCTCATCATCTCAATTCCCATATTTCATTTCCTCAGTATATTAATCTGCTGAAAGTTTGCATCATGTGTTTTATATCATGGGTCCTTGAGTTCTGGTATGTTTCCAGTCCTTAACCTTGGACCTTTTTGGTTGATCTTAAGTATAAGACACTGTTTCGATTATGATGTAACATTTATGATGCATTACCAAGAATACTCTATTTAATTCATCCCAAAATGCTTTGGAAAATAAAGTCAACCACTCTTTAAGAAGGGGTAATTTTGGAGAGACATTGTCAGTTTTTAAGAAATCAAGGTTGTTAACTAATTTAAATTTTCACCTTACTTCACGTAATTCAATTAAAAGGATCCTCAATTAAGAACTGAAGGGAGTATGAATTAAAAAAAAAAAAAACTGGTGAACGATCCTCCATTAATGTGAAGTTGTAAAACTTCAGCAAGTTGATTCCTGTCATTAGTCTCTTTTTCTCCCCCACACTGTTATATTTTGGTTCGAGTATGGTGAAACTGAGGCAAGCCAGCTGCTCTAAAACTTTTACAGGAATCATTGTACAATATAGCAAGAGCATACCATCATGTGGGAATGGTGACTTTGGCAGCTTTGTATTATGAGAGAGTTCTTGCTATTCGTGAGAAAGACTATCCCATTCCGAAACTTCCAGACGGGAATCCGAATGCCACGGAGAACCATCTACCTGGTTATTGTGACCTTCGCAGAGAAGCAGCTTACAATCTGCATTTGATCTACAAGAAGAGTGGAGCTCTTGATCTTGCCAGACAAGTTCTGAAGGATCATTGCTCATTTTGACTTGAGTTAGGTGTTCCTTAGGAACCACTGTCAAATTGTAGAGATTGTGAATATTTTTTTTTTACACAATTTGAACAGATGTAGGCACACAAATGAACATGTCAACATCTGGCATTGGTGTCAGAGATTGTAAATATTTAAAGAGCACAAGGTAGGCATATTGGATATGGTACATGAGATATTTAATATAGATAAGCACTCAAACTTGCATTTTTCACATTGGTCTTGGGGCTTATACCAGAGACACTGATATATAAATTATTCAATCGATTGCGGGTCTTTATACTTATTTTTCGTTCAATCAATTTCCAAGGTCAACCTAATTTACTGTGGTTTATTCTGTCTAAAAAAAGAGTTCTGAAAAGCTGGGGAAAACTTATGAAGAGCACACTAGGATTGAAAATTAAAATAGCTTCTTCTGACTTGGTAGCATACCATTTTATCCCAACTTCAATCTTGCATGCTACCTCTTGCAACAAAAAAATGAATATAAAAGTATTGTTTGCATTTTTTTTTTGAAAAAAGGCTAATCACATTACTATTCAATCATTTTACGTTAACTAGATGGCATGTGAACAAATAAGGCCTTGTTTCAATTATGATTTATTTTCTTTTTAATTAAACGTGAGTCGCATACGTGACACTGAATTTGAAAAATGAATCACATCATTTATTCACGTCATTTAAAATTCATAAATAGTATAGTCTCATATTTAACTAATTAAAGATTGCCAGCAACTTATGTATGCTTTTTCGAGTGCATGTTCCTGCATGGATACTGATCAGTGATATAAATAGAAGTTAGCTGCTTATCAAGCTTTAAGGGAAAGAAATCATTCTGGACTAATTACTAAAATTATTAAGAAAAAAGTAAATACTAAAACATTAGGTAGATTCACGTAAGCTTATCAAAAATCTCAAATTACATGTGTAAATATGATATAATCAATAGTACAGTTGACTAAAATATGGTAGAAAGTTAAAGAAAAGTTGAATCAAGTGCAAAGACTGTCTGAGAAGAGTTTAAGACAATAAAAGCATCTTATTCGTGGTCAATATTTTCCCCGTACGATGCATGTTCTATCACAGCAAGAAACTAACAAAAATCTATAGTATAGAAAAATCAATATGACTGAGTTGGATCTGGTCAATTCTCCTAAAAAGCAGCACTGCAGAAAATTACAAGGGGAAGCAAGAAACTAATAAAATAAAATAAAACGAGTGTGACAAAGAAATACTTTCTAGGAAAAATTTCGATTAAGGATCACATATGGGAATTAATTTCAAACAGCCCTCAAAAAAATCTGAAATTTCAGTTAAGGATTCTGAAATTTCACTGAAGGACCCAATGAGCAAAGTGAAATTAATTTCTAAACCCAGTTTACTCAAATGCCCTTCGAAATGAGCTAAGCTAAAAAGGCAAAAGAAAGAGGGAAAATGGAGAAGTTGGTGCCAGTTGTTCCTATACCCATGCAGTGATGAAGGGAGGTGATCGACGAGAATGAGTTGAGAAAATGCAGTGGGTGATGATTAGTCTGAAGGTGTATCTGTCGGTGGTCTGTGGAAAGTCACCGTCAGTGTTGGTGGTAGTAAGAGAAACTGAATCCCCTCCTTACGGTGTGGCGTCATGATTGTCTCTGGTGCTTGGTGTGTGAGGTAAAATTTTTTTTCTTCAAATTTTTGTTTTGTTGAGTTGACTTGTTGAGCACAGTTGGGTTGTCGTGCCTAAATAACAGAGAAATGAGAGTTTAAATGCATGGATAAGTAGGTAGTGAGGGAGGAAAATCTGATAGTGCTTTAAATTTTAGAAAGAGACTATTATTGTGTTATTGTTTAAAGTTAATAAACAAGAGGTGTTAGTGATTTTTGAAAAGTAGGTGAGAATGGGTGAACAGTGGCTGTAATGCGTGGTTGAAGGAACTTGGGGACGGATGAAAGGGAAATTGGTGTATGTGCTGAAATGGGTAACGTGAAAGGTAAAAGTGTAGAAATGGTAACCTGAAGCTGTAAAAATATGTATTCGGATTGTGAACTGGAAAATTAGAGTAGTGTAGGAAAATGGCAATTTAATGTTGTCAGGACCCGTGTTTCTGTTGTCAAATTGCAAATTCGTATTGTTAACATATACTGTCTATTATTGTTTACCAGTGACTAAAATTGAAAGTTGAAATATGTGCAGAAATGGATTATAAATGGCTGCTAGTGATGGGAAACAATTATTTTGCTTCTTCCATGCAGGAGGGGAATTTGTTAAGACCCCAGAAGGAAAATTGATATATGAATGAGGTATTGTAAGTGGAAGATTGATCACAGAAGGGATAATAAACGAAGAACTACAAAGAATGGTAGCAGATGATATTTGGCCAAAGAGTGGTCAATATAAAATAAAGTACACAGTTAGATTTGACACAGGAACATTTTTGAACCTTGTCGATGATATTGGAGTTGGCCAATTAATTGAGTACAATGATAACAGTGGGCATGTTTATATATCTAACAATAAAAAAGAGTTGAGACAAGCGTCACAGTTGGAGAGTGCACAAGAGTAAGTTGTTTTTAATTGGAATTATTTAGATTTTGGCATAATTTTAAAGAATTGAACTGCAAAACTCAACCTGTATTTGTGTTTGCAGAATAGATGATTTGGTTAGGCCTTCGCTTGTAAGGTCAGTATTTCCAACTGTATTCGATTAGGACATGGGTAACCTGAACACACCTCTAACAGAAGATGTGGCAACACTGATAGGGATTGAAAGAGGGGAAAGATAGTCAAACATTAGAAATCTAGGTGCGGAAATGTTGCTAACCCTGATGCCGGTGATGAATTCTGCAAAGTGGACAGATTTGTTGATATCAAAAGGTCAAACTTTTGTTAATGTTACACATTTCAGAGAAGCATTATATAAGTATAGCCTGGCACACAAGTTTTGATACCTATTTATGAAGAATAATAAGCATAAGATTATTGTCAAGTGCTACGTGAATGGTTGTCCATGGCAAGTTTCAGCATATGGTATAGACAAGAAGAATGAATTCCTAATTGCAAGAAGATTTCATCATGAATATTTGTACTATGGGCAAGACAACTTAGTTGTTCCCCACAAGAAAAAGTGTAGACTTATTTCAGGAGTGATTGTAGATGAGTTGAGTTCTAGCATAGACAAATGTCCTAACGACATTAGATGGGATCTAGAGAGAGAGTATGGGTTGAGTTTCAACTACCAATAAGCATACAGGGCGAAAGAGAAAGCATTGGCGCAGATTCATGGTCATCTAGAGGATTCTTATATGTTAATTCCTTGGATATGTGAAAGGCTAAAACAAACTAATCCAGAGACTATAGCAAATTGGGTTGCATCATCAGATAATAGATTTCAAGTTGTATTTATTGCGTATAACTGCTGTATAAAAGGGTTTTTGGAAGGTGGTAGAGCCATATTATATATGGATGGAAACCACTTGAGTGGTCCTTACAAAAGGACTTTGTTGGGAGCATAAGCATATGATGCAGACAATGAGTTATTTTCGCTTGCATATGCAATTGTGGGGGTGAGACTTTCGAGGAGTGGGTATGGTTCTTGGGTAACATAAAGGATATTACTAGATTATTACAATTAGTAATAGTTTCGGATAGGCACAACTTAATCAAAAGTGCAGTGCAAGCTGTGTTTGAAGGAGACCGCATGCTTTTTGTTATTGTCATTTGAAAGAGAATTATAGTGCGGAGTTCCTAAAAATAACAAGGGGAAAGAGGAAGACCAATGGACAAACAAAGGAGTTGCTCTAAAATTACTTGATTCAATTGCATATGCAAGATTGGATAGGGACTTTGATCATAGTATGGAAAAGCTAATGAGATTTTGTCCAGAATTAGGAAAATGGCTGCAAAGGAATGAAGACATTGAGCATTGGGCATAAAGCAAATCTCCTTACAAGAGGTGGGATAATATCATGACAAACCTGGTTGAATCCTTTAATGCCTGGATTATTCATGAGAGAAAGCACAACATTGCTGTTTTGATACATAAGCATAGGAAAAAATTAACAAATAAGATGTATAGTAGCAAACTGGCGATGAGAAATTGGACCAATGATGTGGGACCAAATATAGAGAAAAAATTGATGGATCATGTGGCCAGATCGGAAAGAATAGATGTACAAGATTATAGAATGAACACATTTAGGGTCAGGTGGGGAAACATAGATGTGCGGGTAAATATGATATTATGTGAATGTATTTGCAAAGGTTGGCAGATGTCAAGACTGCCATACCCACATGCATGTGCCGTAATCAAAAAGGTATATGGTAATATATGTGCATATGTGGCTTATTGGTTTTTACTCCCAACTCAAGAAAAAATTTATCATAGACTTATGATTCCAGTTGAGACACACGACATTCCTAGGCCAGATTCCCTTCGGTTTGAAGAATACTCGTCAACTATCTTTTTACAATTGCCAATGACTACTCGGTATCCTAGAAGGCCTAGAGTTAGGAGGATTGAGTCACAATTTCAGGAAAAGAAAGTGTATCATTGCTCAAGATGTAGTGAAAATGGTCACACCAGAAAGACTTGCAGTAACGCAAACCCTGTGTGACTTTATTATTGACAATAGTATTGTTTTGGTTTAATATATAGTCACTTTTGTACATAAATGAACCCCAATATGTAATTTTTTGGATAGGACGAGGAAGTAGCTAAGACAACCCATTTACTATTTTTGGTGGTGGGTTGGAATATATTTTGTATAGTGACATGATAGTTAAAATATTTCAAGATAGTACTTGATGACAAGGTATCCCAAGTATTGCACTGAACTTGGGTGGCTACACTATAAATGTATGAAAGACGTTGTCCACTTGTGAGTGGATGTATTTCTGTTCTTAGTTTGTGTATTCCTATTGCACATTCTCTAATTTGTGTTGATAACTACACATAATGTTAGACAATTCTATTACCACAGTAAGAAAATGAAGGTATTTGTGCAAAGTTAGGGTTGTGAATACACAAGTCCCTGTTGTTAATAACCTAAATTCAATTGCAAATTAGTTAAGCCCTGTTGTGAATTCTGGGGTCACACTAGATAGAAAATGCAAGTATTTGTACAAAATGGGTGTTGCGAATACACAAGTCCCTATTGTTAATAATCTAAATCCTGTTGCAAATTGGTTAATTGGTATTGTGAACTCTAGGGTCAGACATGATAACAAATGAAGGCA